AGGAAGTTCCGTCTGAACATGAGGAAGAACTTCTTCCCTCTGAGGGTGACGGAGCACTGGAACAGGCTGCCCAGGGAGGTTGTGGAGTCTCCTTCTCTGGAGATATTCAAGACCCACCTGGAGGAGGTCCTGTGTAGCCTGACGTAGGTGACCCTGCTTCGGCAGGAGGGTTGGACTAGATGATCCCCAGAGGTCCCTTCCTACCCCTACCGTTCTGTGATTCCGTGACACCGCTTGCTGCGCACACGCATCCCTTAAGGAATGTCCCTCTTGGCCTGCCTTGCCGTTTATCGACCGTGGTGCAGGGGAGCAGCGCTAACCCTGCCATTACCCCGACCTGCGCTCTGCACAGGGCGCTGTCCCACCAGCTGCCTTCCTTCCCACCCACCTCCTTCCCCCTCCTCTCCTCCCCAGGCTCCACAGCAGAGGCAGCCCGGATAATCTACCCGCCCGAAGCTCAGACCATCATCGTCACCAAGGGCCAAAGCCTCATCCTGGAGTGCGTGGCCAGCGGGATCCCCCCGCCGCGGGTCACCTGGGCCAAAGACGGCTCCAGCGTCTCCGCGTACAACAAGACACGCTTCCTGCTCAGCAACCTCCTGATTGACCCCACGAGTGAGGAGGACTCGGGGACCTACAGCTGCACGGCTGACAACGGGGTTGGGGAGGCTGGAGCTGCGTTCATCTTCTACAACGTGCAGGTGTTCGGTGAGTGCTGCTGTAGCCCTTGTTTCGGGAAGGGCTTGGACTTTCTCCACGTCTTTCAGGGGAGAATGCCAGCGCCGCTATGCTCTTCCTCTCCCTGGACAAACCACACCGCAAGGCAAACTGCTGCATGTGGTTGTGGTTTCTAAGAGATGGGATGAATTGTTCCTTGAGGGTGGTAGCTCCTCTTGCCTGGCTCCCACCACGAGCTGGAGATGGTGGATCCTCCCTTCCCCTGCGGAAGCTCTGCCCTTGTCATTTGTGGCACTGGGTTTGCTCTAACTCTCCACTCTCTAGTGGAGGACTGGCTGCTGCTTAGACGTATACACTGGCATAGGAAAGACATCCGAGTGACTCACTTTTTGCTCTGTTCTGAAGGGAAGCGCTCTGTGGGGTGGGAAATGTAACGGTACTACACGTGAGATATTTTTACCATGCATCCTTCCCACTCTCACAAGCATTAGGGAGGCTACGCCTGTGTTTTACTGGATTGCATTTCATCCAGGTGCCAGTGTTGCTTTGGCACAAGCGCAGTCTTTGCAGAGTAGCATTTCAGCTCAGGAAAACGGGACCCGTAGGTGGCTGCTGTTGTCTTGAGAGGGGCAGATGGCTTTGGGCCATCTCTCCTTGCAGTTCGTGTGGATGCTGAAGGGGAGGCGCAAGGAAGCGGACCCCTGCGGGCCCCCACAAAGGGAGTGGGACTTGAGGGTGAGGTGGGGCAGGGGTCCGTCGCTCTGCCCTCATCTCTGCCAGAGAGGAAAGTGCAAAGCCATGACCGTGCCCTGCTCGCTGCCGTGTGGGACTCAGCAGCCGTGGGTTTATTGGTTTCTTTTTTCCCCCCGCACAGAGCCCCCGGAGGTCACCATGGAGCTGTCGCAGCAGATCATTCCCTGGGGCCAGAGCGCCAAGTTCACCTGCGAGGTGCGAGGGAACCCCCAGCCCTCTGTGATGTGGCTG